AGTCCTTCATCCAGAGTTGCTCTGTTTCTTACTTTGAAGTCCTCTGCTTTCCAAATTGAATCCAGTCGATATCTTGTGTTGTTCCAGTTTATTAGAATGCCTTCCGGCATTAGCCATCTGAAATTTATGCCTTTGGCAATCAACTTTGTAGTTAAAAAATGGTAGTATCTCCGAGTATCCCTTACTCTCTTGGGTATCTGCTTTAGGACAATTTCTTTATTTTTGTATTGTAATAGTTTCTCTCTCATTTTTCTCAGTACTTCATCTGTTGTTGTTTTCTTTATGAATCTCACATGTACTTCTCCTGGTAGTCTATTTTTTCTTGCATTGCTTGAATTCATGAGGAATATCTGATCTATCTTGTTTTGCATTTCTGCTCTGTCTGCGTTTAAGGCCTCCGCCAATAACTCAATGATCACAATTGCTATGTTTTCTTCTATATCCTCAGGAATATTTTGGAATCTCAAATAATGTTCCGCTTTTCCCATTTCTATCATTGCCATGGCCCACTCTAGCTCTTGATTTGCTTGTTCTAATTCTTCATTTTTTTGCAATAACATTTCCAGCTTTTTATCAATGTCCTTGGTTTTGTTTTCCATTTCCTGGATTTTCTGTTCATTTTTAATAATCTTTTGATTTTGGGCTTCAAATTGTGCCTTTATATCCAGGATTTCTTCACTTACTTTCTCCAGTTTACTTTGTGTCTCTTCATGATTTTTCTGTGTTACTTCCTGACTTTTTTGCATCATCTCTTGAATAGGTTTTAATGAGGCCTGCATTTCATCTTGAGCAGTACTTGCTTGGTAGACTTTGAAAAAATATAGGCATATAGAGATATTCTAAATATTGATGGGAATTTGAAATCTAAGCAAGAACTGGAAAATCAGGGGATCAACCTGTCATGGTGGGCACATTTACAGAAGCAAAATAGATATGAAAAAGATGTGAAAATGTATGGATTCTATAAAGATCAAACTGTGTTTGATAAGATTTTGTTAATCTCAGATGAGAAATTAATTAAGAAAATGTATAATTTTTTGTTAATTTTGGAAATGGAAAGTGAACAAGTTAAAGAAACAATGATAAGATGGGCAAAAATTTGTCTATAATATAGAACTAGAAAAGTGGCAAATGCTATGGGAGAGAAATTACAAATTAACAATGTCAACTTCATATAAAGAAAACTTGTATAAAATGTTTTATAGATGGTACTTGCCACCAGCAAGATTAGCAAAAATGTTTAAAAATATGTCAGATAGATGCTGGAAATATAAATACAACGCAGGAACGTACTATCATATTTGGTGGACATGTGGCAAAGCTAAGGATTATTGGAAAAAGATACATATGTGGTTAGAAAAAATATTAGGTGAACATGTTGATTTTAAACCTGAACTTCTTTTACTAGGTATAATGCCTGAAAAGATTAATAAGCAGCATTTATATTTAACTTTACACATCACTACAGCAGCGAGAATAATCTTTGCACAATACTGGAAGAATGAAGGATTGCCATCAGAAGAAGAAATAATCAGAAAAATATTGGAATGTGCAGAGATGGACAGATTAACTATGAAACTGAAAGATAAAGAAGACACAGACTACTACCAAATTTGGGACTTATTTTATTGTTGGTTAGCGGAAAGAATGAAGGATTAGGAATCGAATATGTATTAGCATAGCTAACCCCAGACAGCTCGTTGATTGGAAAAATTAACATATGTATGCAGAAGAAAACCAATAAAATCTCTATAGAATTAAAAAAAAAGAATTGGTAGAGACCTTGGAAGGATTGCTTTACTATTAAGAAATCTTTGGTTGTGTTCTGAGTTCATGGGTTTACTTGGGTCACCAAGATGCTGCAGGTTATAAAGTGGCTTAACAAAGATCTAGAAGTGGTGGAAATCTAAAAGTGAATGTGGTTGAGCCAGTTTAGAGCACTTTGGAAAAATTCTGCTGTGGCTTTCAGAGTGGATAAAAGAGATTTTTCACTTTCATCATTGCAGCTGCTGGAAGGTCTCCCTGCACCCTGATTTTGCATCAGCATTAATACCATGGGAGGTGGTACTTTAACACTTGAGTTAAGATTCTCATCAACAACTCTCTCTCTCTCTCTCTCTCTCTCTCTCTCTCTCTCTCTCTCTCTCTCTCTCTCTCTC